CCAGCGGCCGAAGGCAGTGGGGGTTGTCAGTTCTGGCTTTGGTACCTTCCTATCCACTGGTGGTTTGGTTGGGGACCTATGATCGGACGCGAGACGTGTCCAGCATCTTTTGGTCAATCGGTTTCCTCGACAGTGCAATGTCGGGGCTTCCAGCTGAATGTGATGGGTCAATGTGCATTCACACTTCTCCGTGCTGGTGTCCCATGAGCATTCATGTCCCAAGAGCAGAGCGATGCTGTAGTGTAAATTTTGAGGGACTCAGAATGCTGAACATGCTGAAGCCTGGCAAGAGCTGCGTCTTTGCCAGGCGAGGGCAAGCTTGCAGAGGCTCCAGATGAGGAGGGCGTCACATGTTGCAATAAAACAAAAGGCTGAAGTCCGCCTTAGAGCAAGGCGGCAACTCTTACCCAAACGTGCTGAACAAGTTTGTCGAAGATTCCGCGTTCTACCGGACCAGCAAGTTGCAGAGAGTTGTTAAAGGGAAATCGAAGACAACAGCGTGATTAGCTATGACCAGATTGAGTTGAGTGTGCAACAGATGGGTTCTCATTGTGGAGTGCTTTTGTATCGAGCATGCCCATACCGCATCTGGCAATTGGGCGATTTACAGCTGTTGCAACTGCTGGAATCCCAGTTCGTTCAGACGGGCCCAAATCCAGAAGGGACTCGATGGCCTAGCCAGAAGTAACTTGCATATCACGGCAGCGGACGTCATTGATGGCAATGCTGGTAGAGCTTCCCGGCTGGAAAAGACACAGCTTCCGCGCAGGAGTTATTCATGCCCTGTGACGACATGGCCCGGCGGGGTCTCTTCATTGGACGCGTCAGGCAGGGGAGGATCAGATCGCAGCTCGCATGTGGCAGCAAGAGCTCAGAGCCAGCATGCTATTGGGCATGAGGACTAGCCATGTCTTGCTAAAATTGGAAGGTATGTGACCCTGTGCAAAAAGCAGAAGACATTTGGTTTATTTGGGTGTTGGCAGCTTAGATTGGCATTCCAAGAACCAGTCATGCAGTATATCACCGAACGGTGCTTGCGCCAAAGCCCTCTACAATGTACAGTTGATGTGAGCAAACATTTGGTGGGAAGCTGAGATACATGGGGGTGTCTGATTCATGGGCCGACTGAACCAGACGGAAAGCGAAGTGTCCAGGCGGGAAGAGGGAGAGGCCTGCTGGGCAATATGTGGAGAGGAGCCGCTTGCTATTTGTGTGCGGTTTGACTTATGTGTTTTCCCTTGAGGGGACTTCAGACCTAGGCCAGCTCATCCGTGGCAGTTTGCAGGAGATGGCAGGTTGCCCTCTGAGGTGGACCCCTTGTGCCAAGGATTGTCAAAGTGCCACAAGCGAAGGGCTGGCCAATGGTACACTGCCGTTGGCAACCACCAGCCCTGCAGCGCAGCCCTGGCAGCATCACGATGCGCCAACCGCAGCGTGTAACTTAAGTCAACATCTGCTTTTTTTGGGCTCCCAAATTTTGAGCACCAAGATGTTCGCACATTTTGGACTCGCTTTTGGTCGGTGTTTGAGGGGAAGAGCAAATGAAGCCAGCATGTTCAGAATTCACCTGACAGTAGCAACATTTATATATGACCCTTTTGTCCTTCTGTTTGTTTGGTTGTCATTGCGATCCTGCCCTTTCATTGATCATCCTTGCTGTGGGGAAACAAGAATGGATGGGTGTCTCTTTGGCTTAGCGTTTGTTTTGGGCTTGTGTTTTTCCCTAGGTTTCCTGCAAGCGTCACTCGGAAGCAAAGTGTTCTCAGCGCTCCAGGGCGAAGGGTCCCCATTTCATATGAGGCTGAACAAGAACGGCAGTCTAGGTTTCGTATTCGGAGGTTCGTCCAAGACTGGCACTGAGCCGTGATTTGTCCTTTGGGAGACGGGCCGGCGAGGAGAACTGGCGCATGTGGCTGGCGCCTTGGCTGGCGCTGACCCTGCTGGTGGCGCTGCTCTTGACCGCCTACTGCCAGGCCGATTGAAACTCACCGAAGAGGCTGAAGGTCTGCACGATCCTTCCGAAAGGATTTGGCGCTCTTTGTTAAAAGGGATGGAATTTCAACACTCCATTTTTGAGCCCAGAGAATCACCTTCCCGACTGAGAACTTGTGAGAGGGGCAAACCCCGGGCGTCCGAACTCTGGACCGCGGTCACGACGCCTTCACAGGCGCGCTGTGCGAAGAGGGACTCAGAGGTTCAGGACACCTGGGCCAGGAGCCCACAGGGAATCAACGTCTCGCTTTTGCGGCGAGCCCCTCAAATTTTGCAAGGCTGAAACTGCTTTCCCTAGTATGTGCATATGAGGCGGTGAAGGCTCCCCTTTGCAGTGCGAATGCAGCACGCGAGCTGGAATGTGCCAGAATGCGCCTTGCAAAATTATCTTTACCATTCCTCTGTTTTATGCTTGTCATGATGCATGCACGTGTGCCCACTGCTCGTTGCCGGGCGCCCAAGGCCAACGGCATTATCTTGGGCAGCCAAGTGTCACAGGCAAGGCATGCGTTGCGGAAAGGGCGACACTGCAAAAAAGCGTGTCATGTTAATTCAAGCAGTAAACAAGCAGACGTGAGTCACTTCTCGAGCTGTTTGAGCAAGGGGAACACGGCAGGGTTTCGTTGACAGGAGCACCGCATATTCCACTGAGTGGGAGGAGGGGGCATGGTTAGGACCCGGCCTGTTGCTGTCTCTTGCAACATGTCTTCTGAATTCCACAGTTGGCGCCTTCGGGAAACAAAGGCCTAGGAAAGCCACACAAGTTTTCATCTCGTGGGGAGGGGGTGGCAAGGAGCCAAACTCTTAGAGTCAACTAGAAATGACTTGATCGAACGAAAGGAGAAAACCCTAATTTCCACCAACATGGGCAACATGAGCGCCAAACACGAAAGATTGCGGCTCTTGAAGGTGAACCAACAGCCCATGAACGAGCCTTTGATTGCTCGGACAACAGGATCTACTGTCCACTTGAGGGGGGATTGGTGAACGTAAGACAAAAAAGGCCTGGGATACAACTGTGAGGATAGCCCAATGGTTGCTTTATCCTGGAACCAGCCTATACAAAGCAACTCTAAAGATTGCAACCTGACAAGACGTGTTCCAATCAAGACTGCCGCAGATTTGGTGTAGCATCCTCCATCAGCCGCGTGTGTTTGGTTGACACGACATGGCTTGCTTGGCTAGTTGTATGTTGTTTGTACAAGTGTCCAGGAAGAATCCTTCAGACCATATGGACGGGGTTCAAAGAGATGGGCAACCATGAAAGGGTCTCATGTTTGCCAAGCATGAACCACACCCTCCAAAAACCAAACATGGCAAATTGAAGGGTGTGTGAGAGTGCGTGCTTTGTTTGAGTTTGAGGGTACCTTGGGTTGTGAAGCCAATGCGAACCCATAGGGTTCAACCGAACTCCTAAAGGGTTCGGTTCCAAAGAAAGAGGGACCCACGTTTCGCGCTTTAGGCGCTGCTGGTCGCGGCTGCGGTGCTCTGGGTGCTGCTGGCCGGCCTTGGCCCAGGAGTCAAATGGCCCCGTTTTGCGTTTTGCTCGGTTCTCGGTAGGGCATCAGGGAAGGACCCCTTTGAGCTATCCCACTATCCCGTGTGGTGCCCTGAGGATCCCGAAAGGTCCACTCCCAGAACCCCTGTTGATTCCCAGCGTGAGAACCAGCGAGTTGGGCCTTTGGCAACTTGTGGTTAGAAGGTGCAACAAGACCCAAGAAGCATGACACTGATTTGAAGTGTCTATGAACCCAGTTTCAGGGCCCAACAGACGTCTGCTCTCCAAGTTTGTTTTTCCCCGACTTGTCCCATTGAATCTTAGGCTCCAATGGCTCCCTCGTTTGCCGAAAGGACAGCGGTCACCCGAGCACTCGCATCTCAGGTCCGGTTCTTCTCATTTTCGACGCCGGGAGGCGCAATTCGGGCGTGACATCACCGGGTTCGCGTTCAACGCACACATTGGGCCCATGCGTTGGCACCGCCCCTGTCGAGAGTTATTTTTTTCTTGGGCGAGTATGCAAAGGGGCAAGGTGTTGCGTGTGTGAACTCAGGCTGGGTAGACATGTCCACCACTTAGTTTGAGTAGACTGTTGGGGGGGGGGGGGGCAACTTGTGCGGTCAAGGCAAGTATTTGTTAAATGTGCTTGCCGGGAGGAAATTGAAACAACATGGGATGTTTGCATTCAGAAGTAGATATGGATTGTGTACTCATGTGCATCTTACAGATCTGCGCATCCTTAGCAACACACACACACACACATTCCGGGCATCGGCGCGGAGCATGTGGACAATCGTTCGACCCAAAGCTTCCCGATGGACTTTCGCTTTGACCAATGTTGACAAGTATTTGTTGACCTTCCCACTTCCCGTCACTCAAAGCCACCTGTGCTTGCACGCAGTGTTGCCCATGCATGATCCTTTCTATTCATTGCTTTTTCACCTGCGCGAATTCTCATTGGTTCTTTGCACATTGCATAGTGAGGATACTTGCAAGCCAGAGCTACCCGAGTGTGTCTCGCATTCTACAAGTGTCGTGTTGTTATGCCACAGCGCCAGCCAGACTCAAAAGCTCGTTGAATTGACCTGCTTCCTGCCAAGTTGTTTTTTGTTGTTTTTTATTAACCAGGCTCCCGCCTGCTGCCGCCGACCCTCGGCGCATTAAGGGAAAAGTCACAAGGACCGGTCCTGAAACACGTCCGCAAACCCAGGGACGACTTAGAAGATCCTCTACGACCACAAACAAGGATTAACGGAAAAGTCAGAAATAGGGCAGCTAGTCCGTTAATTACCGCTTGGGCCGGCTTGCGCCCAAGTCACTTCGAGTTGGCGCCTCTCCCGGGGTCGCCCTGAAACTGGCCCTCCCGAAGTTGCCCTGGACCGGTCGCCGGCAGGGACCGGGACTTGGGACCCTATCCAGGCTGGTCCCAGTCTGGCGCGGTTTGACTCGACGTATTGGACTCTCTTGCAGAATAGATCCAGGGATCCTCTACTACCACAAGGATTAACGGAAAGTCAGACAGATGACAGCTCGTCCGTCAATAACCGCGCGGGCCGGTTTGTGCCGAAGTCACGTTGAGCTGGTCCTAGAAACAAGGCTGTTGTCCCCCTCAACTGGTCGCAATCAGTGACGACCTGGGACCCTGTCCAGTGTCCTGGGTGCCAGTCCGGAAAGTTTTCAGGAGCTTTTTGAGCAGCAATTTGAAGTACCAGCGGTCACACCAGGACTCGCTCCCGGGACCGGCTTCCCAGACCGGTCCCAGGACCAGTCCCAGACCCGGTCCTGGGAGTCCTGCGGGCTGGTCCTGGGACCAGTCCCAGGACCGGTCCGGACCGGTCCCAGGACTGGTCCCAGCACCTTGTCCCGGCACCGGTGCCAGGAGTGGTTTTGGCTGACTACAAGTAATCTGAAACAGCAGAACCAGGGTCCCAGGACCCAGGACCGGTCCCAGGACTGGTCCCAGGACCTTGTCCCGGGACCGGTGCCAGGAGTTTTGGCTGACTACAAGTAATCTGAAACAGCAGAACCAGGGTCCCAGGACCCAGGACCGGTCCCAGGACTGGTCCCAGGACCTTGTCCCGGGACCGGTGCCAGGAGTGTTTTGGCTGACTACAAGTAATCTGAAACACAGAACCAGGGTCCCAGGACCAGTCCCAGGACAGGACTGGTCCCAGGACCAGGACCGGTGCCAGGAGTTTTGGCTGACTACAAGTAATCTGAAACAGCAGAACCAGGGTCCCAGGACCAGAGGACTGGTCCCAGGACCTTGTCCCGGGACCGGACCTGGTGCCCAGGAGTGGTCCCCACTGCCACCTGAAACAGCAGAACCAGGGTCCCAGGACCAGTCCCAGTCCCAGGACTGGTCCCAGGACTGGTCCCAGGACCTTGTCCCGCAGGAGTGGTTTTGGCCTGAAACAGCAGAACCAGGGTCCCAGGACCAGTCCCAGGACCCTTGTCCCGGACCGGTGCCAGGAGTGGTTTTGGCTGATAATCTGAAACAGCAGAACCAGGGTCCCAGGACCAGTCCCAGGACCGGTCCCAGGACTGGTCCCAGGACTGGTCCCAGGACCTTGTCCCGGGACCGGTGCCAGGAGTGGTTTTGGCTATCTGAAACAGCAGAACCAGGGTCCCAGGACCAGTCCCAGGACCGGTCCCAGGACTGGTCCCAGGACTGGTCCCAGGACCTTGTCCCGGGACCGGTGCCAGGAGTGGTTTTGGCTGACTACAAGTAATCTGAAACAGCAGAACCAGGGTCCCAGGACCAGTCCCAGGACCGGTCCCAGGACTGTTCCCAGGACTGGTCCCAGGACCGGTCCCGGGACCGGTCCCGGGACCGGTTTTTTCTCTGGGGCATGTCTCGCAAATTGTACCCAAGCCTTGTATGAGGCCCTTCCTGGAGCAAAACCGCCGGCTGAGTTCTTGTTGCGGGTTGCCCGAAGTGTTCGCTCCTTAGACACTGGAGTTCATACAGTGTCGTAGCCCTTGGATTGTCAAGCCTTACTCTAAAAAAGATAGTTTCGACTGGTGTCGGCATGTTAAGGGCTGCGGGCACTTGTCTTGGCTGCCAGGCCGTCGGTTTGCTTCAAGGCCATCCTAGCGGCGACCTTCTCCCTCCCGCAGCTGCCAACGCTCCCCGACAACATCCAGCGGTGGCTCTGGTGGCTCGAGGACCAGCGATTGGGTCAAGCATGTCGCACGTTTGAGAGAGACGGTCACCATCTAAGGTGGTTCAAACAAGGGGCTCATAGTTTTGCCCAACCCTGCGCTGTCCCGGACTGCAAGGCCCAAATGTGTTTGCATCCAGCGGCCAACATACTGCCGACGTTCCGGCAATAAAGTCTCCAAGAACAACCGGCACTATCGAATACAATACCTTGGCGTTGAGACAGAGTGTCAAGCCCGCCTGAGCCGTGGAGTTGAATGCGATGTTTATCATATCGATGGTCGATTTTGGACAGTGCCTTCTATCACTTTCTGTCCACTGGTGGAGGAGCCCCTGCCATGCACAGGGACATACGCCATTATTTGTCAGTACAGCCAAGCCAAAAACTGCACAGTTGGTTCGTGTCTTCCCCGCAAGCCTGAAAACAACGCATACTCTTCCTTGTGCAAATTTGATCTGAGTGCCTGGCCGTGGGATGGCCCCCGGATGGTCGCTGGCATATCCAAGTCATGGAATCCCCAAAGTCACGTGAGCAATCTCGGCGCTATTCGCTCCTTTGGCTGTGGGAGCGGATGAAAGGAGAAATGAAGCCCAGACACCAGATGAAATCATGAGGCTAAAGATTGACAGGATCCGTTTCGGGCTGTGCACGCCACTTTTGACTTCACAGGCTAAATTGCAGTCTCAAATGATGTAAAGGGTGGTTCTGATTTGCTCCCGCGAAATGAAAACCCTGCTTCACGAAAGGCCGGCAAAAGGAACGCGAAAGGACTGCAAAGACCACAAATACGGGAAACGAAAACATTATATATATGCGTATTTTGGTGTTCTTGCCGTTGGTGACAAGATAACCGCTTTCTTCTCCATGCAGTTGCGCCCACGAAATCCGCGAAAGGAACGCGAAAGGGCGAGCTCCCAAGTCTTGGCAAGTGGGGCCTACACACTTCCAGCAGTTCATCGCCAAGTGGCTCAACTGCTTCTCAAGAAGCAGAGCAATGCTGAATCTTGAGTTCATTTGCCTGTCTCAAGATTCAAGGTTCAAGATTCTGAAGAAATATGTCTGCGTAATCTAGAAGCCCAAAACCCTGACAAATGCAGTTTGGTATGTCTTTGCTTGTTTTCTTCCGGGGGGGGGGGTACGTGAATACATATATACATATAGATAGATATGTATATATATATACATACATTGCTATATATATATATGCATCGATATGTGTATTAGTCGAATTATACAGTATCTCTACATGCATATAGGTATATATATATATGTATATACATGTATATTGCCACATAGTAAAACGCATAAATAGCATCTCCACATGCATATTCCTGGCATCCTGTCCAGGATTACAAGAGTTGCGTCCTGGGCTTCCTTGCAGCTCTGTTTTCTTGGTGGACCCAGGAGGCCGGGTTTGGCTCTTGGCATGTTTGGACCCTGCGCAACGGGGCCCTGTACGTCACCTGACCCCCACAAAGCATGATTCACTGCCAGGGAAATTCCTGCCGAGAATGTCAGCACTGGGGGCCTCTGAAGCCACTGGAATGCAGCAATGAAGTTCCTGTCTTGCTCAGCCGTTGAGAGGCTCGTTAGGAGCGTTTACTCGCCTTCAACGCGTGCGTGCAGGTCAAGGGCCGATGCTGCCGTGGGGACTTCCCCCCGAAGGCTGGGCAATCGATGGTCGCCACCTGTTTTTCCAGTGGATTGTTTTGGGACGAACGAGGGTCTTTCAGAATGTGGTCTGGGTCTTGGTAGCTTTGCACTCTAGCAACACGTGGCGTATGTTTGTTTTGGTCCCTTCAGGAGGGAATGCATGTGAAGACTCCTTCAAGAATGGCAATGGGTTTGGTGCTTGCCATCCACGATGTTGCGGTCTTCTTTGATAGAGCAGCTTTGCAGGGAGGGACAAACATATATTGGCTCTTGTTTGAGGCGAATCCGACAAAAGATGGGACTGCGGGGCGGCGTTTTATCGAGGATTCAACACATCGTTTGCTGGATGGATCACGCAGTCCTAAAATCCGCTTTTCAGTCTGACCTCTGATTTGGAACACACATTCCCGCTCTCCGACAGAGGTGGGTTTTTTTCACAATTGGGCACCCCCTTGTATACATATATTTATATAACTACATATATATATATATATATACACATAATATCTAGGCGTCCCAAAAACGACGCATATGACCCCAGGACTACGCGGAGCACCGGCCCCTCAGTGGGAAGCTAGACCTCACGGACGCGGAGCAAAGGCTGGGACGGTCCAGCGGGCAGCGGGTTGATTGGGGCGGAGGCTTAAGAGTCCTTTCAAGCTTCGAATTCATGTCGATGTCTCGCTATCCTGTTCATTTTTGAACATATTGGATGATACTGCGGATTCGGATCACGGGGGTTTGGTGGATTTCTCAATAGCAAACCACGGGGGACAACCGGCCGAGCCAAACGGTTTGTGGTTTGTGGCTGAGTCGGAGTCCGTCTGCATCAGGTCTCCCTGTCTGCTGGAGCTTTGCTAGCAGCGATGTCCATGCTTTGAGCTTTGCGTGTTTCGGCCTGCATATAACCCTGATCATGCAGGTGATGCACCCAGCGAGCGAGGGTTGAGCTTGGGTGCTATCATAGACAGTGTCAGGCTGTCGTTTGTGACTGCAGTTTGACGCGGATCGGCGTGTTGGCAGTGGTTCCAAATCTGAGAGGTGTGACGTGTGTCAGATGCCTGAGCTTGTTTGCTTTTTGTCGTGGAGGTAGAAAGAGGGCAGATTGCAGAAACTCGGTTTTGTGGAGACAAGTGTCGGCAGAGGCTTTTTTGCAGTTGAGCCTCGCCGTAGTTAAGCTCCAGAGAAGGTGGTGTGCACTCATTTCAGCGGGGACAGTCAGACTTGCGGCAGTTCTCGAGTCGGAGGGTGCGTGCATGTGGCAGGTTTCGAAACCACATCGACAAAAAGGGGGGAAGCCGTCGCAAGAGTGAAGAGGGAGTACACGGCAGCGACGGCCCTGGGGCACGGGGCGTTGTTTGCTTTGGCCGTCGGCTGTTCGGTGCGGCAGTGTTCTTGAATGCAGGCGCCTGCCGTAGAAAGTCTCCACAGAGGGAAGTTGCTGCACTCATTGAAGCGAGGGTTGAGCTTGTTTCCGGGTTTCCTACGCGTCGGAGGGTGCTAACATAGACAGGGTCCAGGCTAGCGTTTCTGACTGAAAGTTTGACGCGGGCCTGGCTGTTGGCAGTGGTTCCGATTTTGAGAGGTGTGACGTGTGTCAGATGCTTGAGCTTGTTTGCTTTTTGTTGTGGAGGTAGAAAGAGGGCAAATTGCAGAAACTCGGTTTTGTGGAGACAAGAGTCGGCGGAGGCTTTTTTGCAGTTGAGCCCTGCCGTAGTTAAGCTCCAGAGAAGGTGGTGTGCACTCATTTCAGCGGGGACAGTCAGACTTGCGGCAGTTCTCGAGTCGGAGGGTGCGTGCATGTGGCAGGTTTCGAAACCACATCGACAAAAAGGGGGGAAGCCGTCGCAAGAGTGAAGTGAGGGAGTACACGGCAGTGACGGCCCTGGGGCACGGGGCGTTGTTTGCATTGGGCGTCGGCCGTTCGGCCGTTTGGCCGGAGACGAGAGTCGGCAGTGTTCTTGAATGCAGGCGCCTGCCGTAGAAAGTCTCCACAGAAGGAAGTTGCTGCACTCATTAAAGCGAGGGTTGAGCTTGTTTCCGGGTTTCCCACGCGTCGGAGGGTGCTAACATAGTGTCAGGCTGTCGTTTGTGACTGAAAGTTTGACGCGGATCTGCCTGTTGGCAGTGGTTCCCATTTTGAGAGGGTTGACGTGTGTCAGATGCCTGAGCTTGTTTGCTTTTTGTTGTGGAGGTAGAAAGAAGGCAAATTGCAGAAACTCGATTTTGTGGAGACAAGAGTCGGCAGAGGCTTTTTTGCAGTTGAGCACTGCCGTAGTTAAGCTCCAGAGAAGGTGGTGTGCACTCATTTCAGCGGGGACAGTCAGACTTACGGCAGTTCTCGAGTCGGAGGGGGCGTGCATGTGGCAGGTTACGAAACCACATCGACAAAGGGGGGAAGCCGTTGCAAGAGTGAAGTGAGGGAGTACACGGCAGTGACGGCCCTGGGGCACGGGGCGTTGTTTGCTTTGGCCGTTTGGCCGTTTGGCCGTTTGGCCGTTTGGCCGTTTGGCCGTTTGGCCGTTTGGCCGGAGACGAGAGTCGGCAGTGTTGTTGAATGCAGGCGCCTGCCGTAGAAAGTCTCCACAGAAGGAAGTTGCTGCACTCATTAAAGCGAGGGTTGAGCTTGTTTCCGGGTTTCCCACGCGTCGGAGGGTGCTAACATAGTGTCAGGCTGTCGTTTGTGACTGAAAGTTTGACGCGGATCTGCCTGTTGGCAGTGGTTCCCATTTTGAGAGGGTTGACGTGTGTCAGATGCCTGAGCTTGTTTGCTTTTTGTTGCGGAGGTAGAAAGAAGGCAAATTGCAGAAACTCGATTTTGTGGAGACAAGAGTCGGCAGAGGCTTTTTTGCAGTTGAGCACTGCCGTAGTTAAGCTCCAGAGAAGGTGGTGTGCACTCATTTCAGCGGGGACAGTCAGACTTACGGCAGTTCTCGAGTCGGAGGGGGCGTGCATGTGGCAGGTTACGAAACCACATCGACAAAGGGGGGAAGCCGTTGCAAGAGTGAAGTGAGGGAGTACACGGCAGTGACGGCCCTGGGGCACGGGGCGTTGTTTGCTTTGGCCGTTTGGCCGTTTGGCCGTTTGGCCGTTTGGCCGTTTGGCCGTTTGGCCGTTTGGCCGTTTGGCCGGAGACGAGAGTCGGCAGTGTTGTTGAATGCAGGCGCCTGCCGTAGAAAGTCTCCACAGAAGGAAGTTGCTGCACTCATTAAAGCGAGGGTTGAGCTTGTTTCCGGGTTTCCCACGCGTCGGAGGGTGCTAACATAGACAGTGTCAGGCTGTCGTTTGTGACTCAAAGTTTGACGCGGATCTGCCTGTTGGCAGTGGTTCCGATTTTGAGAGGGTTGACGTGTGTCAGATGCCTGAGCTTGTTTGCTTTTTATTGTGGAGGTAGAAAGAGGGCAAATTGCAGAAACTTGGTTTTGTGGAGACAAGAGTCGGCAGAGGCTTTTTTTGCAGTTGAGCCCTGCCGTAGTTAAGCTCCAGAGAAGGTGGTGTGCACTCATTTCAGCGGGGACAGTCAGACTTGCGGCAGTTCTCGAGTCGGAGGGTGTGTGCATGTGGCAGGTTACGAAACCACATCGACAAAGGGGGGAAGCCGTTGCAAGAGTGAAGTGAGGGAGTACACGGCAGTGACGGCCCTGGGGCACGGGGCGTTGTTTGCTTTGGCCGTTTGGCCGTTTGGCCGTTTGGCCGTTTGGCCGTTTGGCCGTTTGGCCGTTTGGCCGTTTGGCCGTTTGGCCGTTTGGCCGTTTGGCCGGAGACGAGAGTCGGCAGTGTTGTTGAATGCAGGCGCCTGCCGTAGAAAGTCTCCACAGAAGGAAGTTGCTGCACTCATTAAAGCGAGGGTTGAGCTTGTTTCCGGGTTTCCCACGCGTCGGAGGGTGCTAACATAGACAGTGTCAGGCGGTCCTTTGTGACTGAAAGTTTGACGCGGATCTGCCTGTTGGCAGTGGTTCCGATTTTGAGAGGGTTGACGTGTGTCAGATGCCTGAGCTTGTTTGCTTTTTGTTGTGGAGGTAGAAAGAGGGCAAATTGCAGAAACTCGGTTTTGTGGAGACAAGAGTCGGCAGAGGCTTTTTTGCAGTTGAGCCCTGCCGTAGTTAAGCTCCAGAGAAGGTGGTGTGCACTCATTTCAGCGGGAACAGTCAGACTGACGGCAGTTCTCGAGTCGGAGGGGGCGTGCATGTGGCAGGTTTCGAAACCACATCGACAAAGGGACACAGGGAGAAAGGGGAAGAGCCGTTGCAAGAGTGAAGTGAGGGAGTACACGGCAGTGACGGCCCTGGGGCACGGGGCGTTGTTTGCTTTGGGCGTCGGCCGTTTGGCCGTTTGGCCGTTTGGCCGGAGACGAGAGTCGGCAGTGTTCTTGAATGCAGGCGCCTGCCGTAGAAAGTCTCCACAGAATGAAGTTGCTGCACTCATTAAAGCGAGGGTTGAGCTTGTTTCCGGGATTCCCACGCGTCGGAGGGTGCTGACATAGACAGTGTCAGGCGGTCCTTTGTGACTCAAAGTTTGACGTGGATCTGCCTGTTGGCAGTGGTTCCGATTTTGAGAGGGTTGACGTGTGTCAGATGCCTGAGCTTGTTTGCTTTTTGTTGTGGAGGTAGAAAGAGGGCAAATTGCAGAAACTCGGTTTTGTGGAGACAAGAGTCGGCAGAGGCTTTTTTGCAGTTGAGCCCTGCCGTAGTTAAGCTCCAGAGAAGGTGGTGTGCACTCATTTCAGCGGGAACAGCCAGACTGACGGCAGTTCTCGAGTCGGAGGGGGCGTGCATGTGGCAGGTTTCGAAACCACATCGACAAAGGGACACAGGGAGAAAGGGGAAGAGCCGTTGCAAGAGTGAAGTGAGGGAGTACACGGCAGTGACGGCCCTGGGGCACGGGGCGTTGTTTGCTTTGGGCGTCGGCCGTTTGGCCGTTTGGCCGTTTGGCCGGAGACGAGAGTCGGCAGTGTTCTTGAATGCAGGCGCCTGCCGTAGAAAGTCTCCACAGAAGGAAGTTGCTGCACTCATTAAAGCGAGGGTTGAGCTTGTTTCCGGGTTTCCCACGCGTCGGAGGGTGCTAACATAGTGTCAGGCGGTCGTTTGCGACTGAAAGTTTGACGCGGATCTGCCTGTTGGCAGTGGTTCCGATTTTGAGAGGGTTAACGTGTGTCAGATGCCTGAGCTTGTTTGCTTTTTGTTGTGGAGGTAGAACGAGGGCAAATTGCAGAAACTCGATTTTGTGGAGACAAGAGTCGGCAGAGGCTTTTTTGCAGTTGAGCCCTGCCGTAGTTGAGCTCCAGAGAAGGTGGTGTGCACTCATTTCGGCGGGGACAGTCAGACTTGCGGCAGTTCTCGAGTCGGAGGGGGCGTGCATGTGGCAGGTTTCGAAACCACATCGACAAAGGGACAAAGGGACAAAGGGGGAGAGCCGTTGCAAGAGTGAAGTGAGGGAGTACACGGCAGTGACGGCCCTGGGGCACGGGGCGTTGTTTGCTTTGGCCGTCGGCCGTTTGGCCGTTTGGCCGGAGACGAGAGTCGGCAGTGTTCTTGAATGCAGGCACCTGCCGTAGAAAGTCTCCACAGAAGGAAGTTGCTGCACTCATTGAAAAGAGGGTTGAGCTTGTTTCCGGGTTTCCCACGCGTCGGAGGGTGCTAACATAGACAGTGTCAGGCGGTCGTTTGTGACTGAAAGTTTGACGCGGATCTGCCTGTTGGCAGTGGTTCCGATTTTGAGAGGTGTGACGTGTGTCAGATGCCTGAGCTTGTTTGCTTTTTGTTGTGGAGGTAGAACGAGGGCAAATTGCAGAAACTCGGTTTGTGGAGACAAGAGTCGACAGAGGCTTTTTTGCAGTTGAGCCCTGCCGTAGTTAAGCTCCAGAGAAGGTGGTGTGCACTCATTTCAGCGGGGACAGTCAGACTTGCGGCAGTTCTCGAGTCGGAGGGTGCGTGCATGTGGCAGGTTTTGAAACCACATCAACAAAAGGGGGAAACCGTCGCAAGAGTGAAGTGAGGGAGTACACGGCAGTGACGGCCCTGGGGCACGGGGCGTTGTTCGCTTTGGCCGTCGGCCGTTTGGCCGTTTGGCCGGAGACGAGAGTCGGCAGTGTTCTTGAATGCAGGCGCCTGCCGTAGAAAGTCTCCACAGAATGAAGTTGCTGCACTCATCAAAGCGAGGGTTGAGCTTGTTTCCGGGTTTCCCACGTGTCGGAGGGTGCTAACATAGACAGTGTCAGGCGGTCGTTTGTGACTGAAATCTGAAAGTTTGACACGGATCTGCCTGTTGGCAGTGGTTCCGATTTTGAGAGGTGTGATGTGTGTCAGATGCCTGAGCTTGTTTGCTTTTTGTTGTGGAGGCAGAAAGAGGGCAGATTGCCAAAGTTTAATTTTGTGCAGAGGCTTTTTTGCCGTTGAGCCCTGCCGTAGTTAAGCTCCAGAGAAGGTGGTGTGCACTCATTTCAGCGGGGACAGTCAGACTTGCGGCAGTTCTCGAGTCGGAGGGTGCGTGCATGTGGCAGGTTTCGAAACCACATCGACAAAGGGACAAAGGGACAAAGGGGGAGAGCCGTTGCAAGAGTGAAGTGAGGGAGTACACGGCAGTGACGGCCCTGGGGCACGGGGCGTTGTTTGCATTGGGCGTCGGCCGTTCGGCCGTTTGGCCGGAGACGAGAGTCGGCAGTGTTCTTGAATGCAGGCGCCTGCCGTAGAAAGTCTCCACAGAGGGAAGTTGTTGCACTCATTAAAGCGAGGGTGGAGCTTGTTTCCGGGATTCCCACGCGTCGGAGGGTGCTGACATAGACAGTGTCAGGCTGTCGTTTGTGACTGACAGTTTGACGCGGATCTGCCTGTTGGCAGTGGTTCCGATTTTGAGAGGGTCGATGTGTGTCAGATGCCTGAGCTTGTTTGCTTTTTGTTGTGGAGGTAGAAAGAGGGCAAATTGCAGAAACTCGGTTTTGTGGAGACAAGAGTCGGCAGAGGCTTTTTTGCAGTTAAGCCCTGCCGTAGTTAAGCTCCAGAGAAGGTGGTGTGCACTCATTTCAGCGGGGACAGTCAGACTTGCGGCAGTTCTCGAGTCGGAGGGTGCGTGCATGTGGCAGGTTTCGAAACCACATCGACAAAGGGACAAAGGGACAAAGGGGGAGAGCCGTTGCAAGAGTGAAGTGAGGGAGTACACGGCAGTGACGGCCCTGGGGCACGGGGCGTTGTTTGCTTTGGCCGTTGGCCGTTTGGCCGTTTGGCCGGAGACGAGAGTCGGCAGTGTTCTTGAATGCAGGCGCCTGCCGTAGAAAGTCTCCACAGAAGGAAGTTGCTGCACTCATTAAAGCGAGGGTTGAGCTTGTTTCCGGGTTTCCCTGTCAGGCTGTCGTTTGTGACTGAAAGTTGGACGCGGATCTGCCTGTTGGCAGTGGTTCCGATTTTGAGAGGGTTGACGTGTGTCAGATGCCTGAGCTTGTTTGCTTTTTGTTGTGGAGGTAGAAAGAGGGCAAATTGCAGAAACTCGGTTTTGTGGAGACAAGAGTCGGCAGAGGCTTTTTTGCAGTTGAGCCCTGCCGTAGTTAAGCTCCAGAGAAGGTGGTGTGCACTCATTTCAGCGGGGACAGTCAGACTTGCGGCAGTTCTCGAGTCGGAGGGTGCGTGCATGTGGCAGGTGACGAATCCACATCGTTGCAAGAGTGAAGTGAGGGAGTACACGGCAGTGACGGCCCTGGGGCACGGGGCGTTGTTTGCTTTGGCCGTTTGGCCGTCGGCCGTTTGGCCGTTTGGCCGGAGACGAGAGTCGGCAGTGTTGTTGAATGCAGGCGCCTGCCGTAGAAAGTCTCCACAGAAGGAAGTTGCTGCACTCATTAAAGCGAGGGTTGAGCTTGTTTCCGGGATTCCCACGCGTCGGAGGGTGCTGACATAGACAGTGTCAGGCTGTCATTTGTGACTGAAAGTTTGACGCGCATCTGCCTGTTGGCAGTGGTTCCGATTTTGAGAGGGTCGATGTGTGTCAGATGCCTGAGCTTGTTTGCTTTTTGTTGTGGAGGCAGAAAGAGGGCAAATTGCAGAAACTCGATTTTGTGGAGACAAGAGTCGGCAGAGGCTTTTTTGCAGTTAAGCCCTGCCGTAGTTAAGCTCCAGAGAAGGTGGTGTGCACTCATTTCAGCGGGGACAGTCAGACTTGCGGCAGTTCTCGAGTCGGAGGGTGCGTGCATGTGGCAGGTTTCGAAACCACATCGACAAAGGGACAAAGGGACAAAGGGGGAGAGCCGTTGCAAGAGTGAAGTGAGGGAGTACACGGCAGTGACGGCCCTGGGGCACGGGGCGTTGTTTGCTTTGGCCGTCGGCCGTTTGGCCGTTTGGCCGGAGACGAGAGTCGGCAGTGTTGTTGAATGCAGGCGCCTGCCGTAGAAAGTCTCCACAGAAGGAAGTTGCTGCACTCATTAAAGCGAGGGTTGAGCTTGTTTCCGGGTTTCCCACGCGTCGGAGGGTGCTAACATAGTGTCAGGCGGTCGTTTGCGACTGAAAGTTTGACGCGGATCTGCCTGTTGGCAGTGGTTCCGATTTTGAGAGGGTTGACGTGTGTCAGATGCCTGAGCTTGTTTGCTTTTTGTTGTGGAGGTAGAACGAGGGCAAATTGCAGAAACTCGATTTTGTGGAGACAAGAGTCGGCAGAGGCTTTTTTGCAGTTGAGCCCTGCCGTAGTTAAGCTCCAGAGAAGGTGGTGTGCACTCATTTCAGCGGGGACAGTCAGACTTGCGGCAGTTCTCGAGTCGGAGGGTGCGTGCATGTGGCAGGTTTCGAAACCACATCGACAAAGGGACAAAGGGACAAAGGGGGAGAGCCGTTGCAAGAGTGAAGTGAGGGAGTACATGGCAGTGACGGCCCTGGGGCACGGGGCGTTGTTTGCTTTGGCCGTCGGCCGTTTGGCCGTTTGGCCGGAGACGAGAGTCGGCAGTGTTGTTGAATGCAGGCGCCTGCCGTAGAAAGTCTCCACAGAAGGAAGTTGCTGCACTCATTAAAGCGAGGGTTGAGCTTGTTTCCGGGTTTCCCACGCGTCGGAGGGTGCTAACATAGACAGTGTCAGGCGGTCGTTTGCGACTGAAAGTTTGACGCGGATCTGCCTGTTGGCAGTGGTTCCGATTTTGAGAGGGTTGACGTGTGTCAGATGCCTGAGCTTGTTTGCTTTTTGTTGTGGAGGTAGAACGAGGGCAAATTGCAGAAACTCGATTTTGTGGAGACAAGAGTCGGCAGAGGCTTTTTTGCAGTTGAGCCCTGCCGTAGTTAAGCTCCAGAGAAGGTGGTGTGCACTCATTTCAGCGGGGACAGTCAGACTTGCGGCAGTTCTCGAGTCGGAGGGGGCGTGCATGATGACTGCATGTGTGCATTGTCAAAGTCTCTTTTTGAGTTCTCCGGGGCCTCGATCAGGTACCACCGGGAGGTTGCTCAAGGGGCTTCTTGAATTATCCTTCAACCAGAGCCAAAACAATTGATGGCACAAAGACCGCAGCATCTCCGGGTTCCGGGACAAAGGAAAGTGGGCAGTCAAAGCAACCTTGCTTCGGAAGGCACTGGTTTAGGGAACCTGACCAGCATGGTACCTAGAACCCCGAGTGGGACATTACTCTACCAATCAGAGATGCGACAGCCTCAGCCATTTGGAGAGAACCAACCGTCTCGTTTTGACCTGGCCGTTCAGTCCCAGGGGGTACTCCGCGGGCTTTGGTGTTTGTTTCGTTTTGCTGGCCTGCAGGATGTAGGTGGGTTCCCCAAATTGTTTCCGGTGGATCAGGTTGTCGAAGCCAGTTACAGTATTATTCAAGTACCAGCAGAACCGTGGGCGTTTGGATAGGTTGACTCATGGCTGTGTGGTTGGGTGGTTCGGCTCGGCGGTTTGAACTCTTTGACTTTTAGGGTTTGACCTTGATCCGCACATGTGTCGAGGCAAGCCTCCAATGCGCGGCGGCCTATCGGGGGTTTGGCCAGGGCATTTCTCCAAGGAGCAAAGAGGCTGGAGTGATCTTCAGAGGCAACAACTTGTGGAGGGTTTCTTTTGTCTTACCTTTTGAGGTTCTTTTTGAGACCCAATGTTTTCTTGCTGCTGAAGTTGAGTGTATGTGATTGTTCGTGGGGCTGCACGGGCGAAGGCAGAATCCCAATCAACAGTCAAATGGTTGCGATTTGTCCTACAAGCAAGTGAAAACGACAAGCATCCTTGCACTAACTATGTTGTTGTGCGTCTAGAACTTCCCTTCACATTCCTTGGGATCACGGCTCTAAATCAACGACGCTGCCACAGACTGCAGCGGACATTTCAATCTTGTCCCAGCCTTACCAGGGCTGCAGAAACCATGTCCTGAAAACAACCATGATAATTTTACATTCTGATTTGTGGAATTCGCAGCTCGATGAACCCGACCAAAAGGTGTGATGGGCGCGCCTATCGCGGAGTTTTCAGGCAGTCAAGACATGCGACGTGCCGCAGGTTGTGCGGGGCCGTCTTTCCTACATCCTGTCGACCTCCCAAGGAAGTGCACTGGATCCGCTTTTTGATGCAGCAATCTTCGCCACAGCCTGAGGGTGTTCGTGGGAAGACTTGATTGATTGGATGTGCGCGGTTCGGATATGGGTGACAGGGACATGTGTGATAGTTCGGTTGAGGCTTGTTTCATCGTCCTTGATTTCCCACGCTTGCTTTCATGCTTCGATCGTACTTTGCATGCGCAGTGGTGATCGCTGGAGCAAGAAGAAACTAGGCAACTCGAAACCAGCAACTCATTCCGCACCTTCTTTGGACTGAGTTGGCAGCATAGGAGTGCCATGTCATGCACGCATCCGGCAAAATGTGGCTGATTCTCATGACCCCTGGTTTGAATTTGTCTTGCCTCATGCTGTGATGGCTGGGACAACAAACATGGGCTGCACACGATGCCGATAGTACTGGTGGTTGACTGCGATGGTTGGGTTTCATTTGTGGCTTGATACGATGCCTTATGAGGAATGGACGATGATGCTCACACTGAGCAATAAAAAAGCTGTTTGCAAGTTCAGTGTCCTTTTGCGAGTGCAATACTTTGCAATGCTACCCGTCACATATTATATATACATACATATATATATATACACATGCATGCATGCATGCATGCATGCATGCATGCATGCATGCATGCATGCATGCATGCATCCATACATCATACATGCATGCATCCATCCATGCATGCATGCATCCATCCACCCGTATGCATGTACGTACGTAGGTACGGTACGTACGTACGCACGTGCATACACCTACGCACATACAGACTTACATGCATACATTCATACACACATCCAAACTTACGCACATACACACATACAGACATACACACACACGCAGACATACATGCACACAGGCATGCACACATGCATACGTCTGCATACATATGGGTACATATGCATTCATACGCATACATATTCATACACATGCATACACATGCATACACATGCATACATATGCATATATGCATATGCATATGTATGCATATGCTTTTGCATACCTATGCATTCACACGCATACATATGCATGCATATGCATACATATGCATACATATGCATACATATGCATATGTGCATCCACACATGCATGCATCCATGAATGCATACATACATACATACATACATGCATGCATGCATACATACATACATACAGACACACACACACACACCTACCTACCTACCTACCTACCTACCTACCTACCTACCTACCTACCTACATACATACATACATACATACATACATACATACATACATACATACATACATACATACCTACACACACACATAAATGCATGCATGCATGCATGCATGCATGATAAATACATACATACATACATGCATGCATGCATGCATGCATGCATGCATGCATGCATGCATGCAAACTTGCGCAGGCGTGGTATTTTGCCAATTTCAGTGCGCTCGATGTTGCCGAGGTTTTTTGGTACCTGGTTCTCTGTGGACTCTCTTTGCCGCGCCCTGAAGTTGGGTCGCATCAGCTGCAAGTGACTTGGGAATCGCCTGTTTGAAGTGAGGGATGCTGCTTGGGCACCAATGCAAAGGACCTGCCTCAATGTACTAGCCGCTAGCCGCTCGCAAGTATTGGAACACGAGCCATTCTAATGGCTTTCTGGAGCTTGACCATGCAGCGAAGAACACTCTCACTAGTATTGGACACCATCTATCCTTGTGAGTGGTACATTGCAGCGGAGGTTAGCATGGTCTGCCAAGAAGGCTTGATGCTTGAGACAGCTCTTTGTGCTGTACTATGCGTCGCTTTCAGCAAAATATGTCTTTGCTGACAAGACAACATTGTGTTTGACAGATTAGTTGGTTAATGTGCGAAGTACTCTGAGGGCAATGCGCGGTGGTAGTGTTTCGTAACGACCCTCACACAATCGAGGGTCAACAGAGAAACGATAGAAAACAAGGTGTGAGCAGGCCTGCTCAAGTAGCACTGAATTGGTTAGTTGTTTCAAATTGGTTTAGTATTGCTCTAGTATTGCCAGGGCCGGGCATATGCGTTCCACCGAAAAACAACAAAAGCACATTTTGCTGTATTCCCTATCTTTGATGAAACAGTATCCTACAGACCAAAGTCTCTACAGGCAGCTTATGAGGGAAGCAGACCTCAATGGTTTGCATGTGCAGAATGTTGGCAACCAGCCAGGCCGGGCCTTGTTCCAGCAAGAGCTCCTCAAAGACCCTCACAAATGAAGCTCCCTTCTCAAGCTTGCAAGATGACGAGCTTGCAAACCAAAAAAAAATCTTCTCAGCCCCCGGCCCCTTGGTCTGCGGAGGTCAAGGCAGACCCTTCCTAACTCTGGCAGCCGCCTGCGCGGGCACTTGGAAAGCTGGTCTGGAAACCGCGAGTTGAGGATGCCTGGGTCCCTTTGTGCGTATCAGGAACCACATATTGAGATGGTGTATGCACTGGGATTCCACCTTGGACGCTGTTCTGACGCTACAGTAGGTGCAGCAAGCACATGTGGGTCTGCAAATTGTGGTTCAACTTAGTGCATGACTCAGTCAAAGCCAGTTTCCTGCTTCGCACAGCACAAGGCTTTCAATCAAGGCGTTTCAGGGATGACCCTTTATTCGAGGCACCCGAACCGGGTACGCAGTACTGGACGTTGTTTTCGTTTGTCTCATGTTGCAAGGGCCAGCACAAGCCCAAGCGTTCGAGGGGAATCATGTGATCCATGGGCAAGCTTCACGACTTGTCAGCGTCTGAAAACTTGGCGCCAAGGTGGCTCACTGGCGACAGCCCGCTGGAGCTCAGGGCTCTATGTAAACTTGGTGGACCTTAATGGCAGGCGGGCGGTTTGAAAGTTGCAGGGGAAGCTGGCAGCTTCCTTGCGAGTTGTAGAGGTTTGAGTTTCCCAGCGCTACGTTTTCCGAATCTACACCATGTCAAAACAGGGAGTGGGCACACACACACACACACACACACACTGTCGATTGCCCGAAACAAAAGTGGCCCCGGATCTGTTTGACAAAGGCCGTATGGAGCCCTGGGAAGGGAATTTGGACCATTTTATAGGGATTCCTCAGCGAGCCACCCACCTTTCAAGACCTTTGGCGATCTCACCACGGACCTTGGGGTTTCAAGGATCTTAGGTTCCGAAGTGGGTGGATCTGCATTTAAGATTGATGTCACAGTCATGTCTTGCAGGGCGGCTGGATTAAGACCAATCTGATTAGAGGATTTGAAAGAATGTGGCTCTATCCAAGCTTGGCCTCCTTTTGTGGGTGAAATCAGAGAGGACATTTTCAGGCTGCTTGGTCTCTGGCCCTTGGCATACAGCAATGTCTAAGTAGGGCTCCCTTGACGACCAAATCTAGGCATGTCTTCCCTCATAGAACTGTTCGAGTGCATCAACGATGCAGGGCATTTGCACTTGCGAGGTTGCAACTTGGTCCAGCACCTTTTGAGGGCCACCCCAACACCCTCAAAATTGTTGGGGTCCACCCCCATTTTGGGATTCCACGTTGATTTGCAGGGGAGGCATTGACGGAACTGACAGGCAGAGGCGCTTGCAGTGCACCTGGGCGTCCGATACGGCCCGGGAGCCCAAGTGAACGTACCCTGGTTGGTTTGTGTCAAGGGGAACCCCAAAATGGGTGGGGAACCTTTTCTTTTGGTCCTCTGCACCCCCGAAAGATACCAGCCCCGAAAACATGCACTCAGTCAGGTCTTCCCCTACCTGCTTGAGCGCATGTAGTTCCTGTGGTTCATCCAGGAGGCACCTCAAAGAGTTATATGGACATCACGGCAAGTAGTCTTCTCACATTCAACCTCACGTGTCTCTGAAATCTTTCTCTGTAGCCATAATCTTAGGAGTTCCGGCTATCAGGCGATCATGCGCCAACACGGAAGCAGCAAGCGCCTGCGCTCGGTCTTAAGTGCAGAGAGCGTTCTTTGAGCGCCTTGGCGCTGAAGCTGTGCAAACAAGCAGCTTGCGAACGGAGCGGACACCGCGGTGCCTGCCAGCCTTCAAGATCCGTGCCGGAAGCTTGGGGAGGAGGAAGTTCACGCCGTATCTCATTCCTCAATGGCGGCTCGCGAAAGGGTGAAGTAATGATATGCTTGGGGCGGGATTTGAAGCGAGCAATAGAACAGCTTCCGGCAGCTGTCGACAGCGCGATACATTGTTTTTATTCCAGACGTCTTTTCCATTAGCCTTATACTGTCTCTTAATGTTGTCTCGCCCCATAAAATCCATCTTGACCACGTTCCGGCGGTTGTTAAATCGTTCCAATCTTCATTTTTACGGTGCCTATCAATGTATGGGTGTTTTCTTTCGCTATCTTTATGTTGTGTATAATCTGAATAACCCTTAGCACCAAATGAAACCGTCTTACCATGGGGCAGCCAGGTGTCTGATTTGTTTTCCCCTGTGTGCGAATCAATCAGGTGGATGATTACAAGGACCCCCCAAGATGTGAAGGCACCTCTCTGGATTGGAACGCGCTATTACTCAGCCAGGGTTTCACTGACCAACGTCAATTTGGACGTTGCTGCTTCAGCACGCCCCGAGGTCACCTTGTTCAAACTCTCCTGGGAGCCCGGCCTGGGCTTTCCGCCCCTTAGATGCACTGGGGCGAGGGGGAAGGGGGGTGCTTGGCTTTCAAGTGGCTGTGAGTCAAAATACGGGGGCCCCGCGGTGTTGGCTTTCTTTTTGGTTTCCCTCCAAAAGTGACGTGTCAACAGAAGGTTTCATTCAGATAATATATCGTTTCATCCTGGCCGCTTTTTCAACCATACTCTACCAGCAAACGCCCTTGTTCGTGCACAACTATGCGTGCAAGTCTACCATTGATGTTTCAAGTGAAGTCTGTATGGTTGACATTCGACGTTCGTTATCCATGGGCTAGTGTGCACCAGGTGCATTTAGGGTCGATATTTGATGTGAAATGTGTCGTTTCACTTCCTAGATATTGAACATCTACTTCCTGCAAACTTGGTGTCCATGGTGTGGTTCAATTGCTTGATCTAAGTTATGTGGAGTCCATGTGCGAGTTTGTGTGCGCGCCGGCATCCATACTGGTACACGTTTTGCCAGTAGACTTCGTCAGCTACCCAACTCAGACATGCGCCCGAAGTCTTTGCCCCTCTCGAACCAAGGTGCAACGAGCTCTACGCAAAGTGCGGCTTTCAGGCTGGCGCATTTGCATCGGCTCGAGGAAGCCTAGTCTTGTGCTTGTGCCAAGCCTAGTGTCTTGGGCTTCCTTTGCCAACGGGCAGCGAGCCTTGTGCTTTGATGACAGCTCCAAGTGGTGGGCCAGCCTTGCCAGAAGTAGATCAGCTGCTATTTTGCTTTGCCGAGCTTCATCTCCGCCCAGCTCTTTGAAAGGCAGCCACAGAGTGCAGCATCCTCGTGTACATCACCGTTTTCGCCATGGTCTGGGCCTCAGAAGGCGTACCGCGGTTCGCGAGAGCGTGCAAAACGTGAGGAGTTGCTTGAAGACCGCCGTCAAACTGGGAGAGCAACTCAACACGGAGCAATCAGGCATGTATTTTCATTGCTTTGAACAAGAATAAGGACCAGGATATTCACTGTTGGGTGCGGTAGGCAAACAAACAAGATTGGGACACATTTTTCCGTTGCCATGAGCAAATGGGAGGGGGGGGATCTCACCAAAGAGCTTGAACGCAGCCCTTGCATCTTTCATCGGCTTGCTTGTCCCTGAACAAATAGATCCCGCTGCGAATTCCGGCCACGCGGCGCCTTGTTGCACGAATTGGCGACTCTAAGAATACAGAGGAATGTTGCTTGCCGGGAACATGTTTGGCCATCGCCCCAACGTACAACTCTTGCTGCCTTCCTTTCGTAACTGTGTCCGGGTGAGAAAGCATCCATGCACAATGCCGCCAGATTCAAGAACCGACAAGTATTTGGGACAGTGAAGCGATTGAACATGACCGCCTTCCGGCATTCCCTCTCATGCGCCCCCTTTTGGAGACAAGACGAGCATAGGCGCTGTTCGCACCATAGGAAGAAGCAAGCTTGAGTCGCCGGCCCTGAAAGCTCGCGCGAGGTGGCTGGGGACGTGATCACCTGGGCTGCAGGGGCACCCGTACTCGATGGCCGGTGCATCGTGTTGGTACTAAGAGCCGCTTGAGAGCCTTTGAGAGCTTCAAGGCGAGCGCAGCTCCGGCACCTCCATTGTAATGTCTATTTGTCTATTCGTCTATTCTTTCTGGCGCTCTTCTCCATATTGTTCCAGAGATTGATGTCCATTGGAATCGCCTTCAAGAACCAACAAATGGCTGGTTGCCATGATGGTAACAGGAATCCACTGGGTAAAAAGGTTCCTTCGATTCAACTTAGCCTTCGAATGCGCTTTCCAGTGGCAAGGATCTCGTGCTGCCGCTTTGGACTGCCTTGTTGGCTTTGCGGGCGGTGCGCACGGGCATAGGCGCGGGCGGGTGGGCATCGGCTTTCGGAAATTCCTAGAATGTGTCTGTGACCCGTGAAAATGGGTCATATTGGGTGGGTGGCAAAAAGAAAGTCATATAAAACCATACGTCGTTTGTTTTTTCTTCTTTTTTTTTCCGAATGTTGGTTTTCCTTTCTCAAAGCCTTGAGTCCTTGAGTGCCATGTCTCCATTCAGCATCTTGGCAGGTCGCTGCTTCGAGATTGCGTCTGCCGAGTTGGCCCGGCGCGCAACGCACAAGGCCTGGGCAGAGCGCCGTAGCGAAGCGCGGCCGAGCGGCCCAACCTTTGAGGTGTTTCGGAGCATGGCATGATGAAGCCCCTTTGGTCGGTGCTGAAAGGGAAACCTAGGCAAAAGGAAGCCACAGATTTTAGGGGGCCATTTTGAGGACCCCCCAAGTTTGGATCCTTCCAGCCCCAGCCCCACAGGTGCGATTCTGTTCCAGTTGCTGCCACTAAACCAACTCGCGTTCCCTATTTTCATCACTGGCCAAGTGGGATTTGATCAAGCGATTGTAGAGCTGCCACTTGCAAGACTTGCATATCTTTTAATGGTTGCGCTTTGTTTGCAATGTGCCCCCCAAGTCCGCTTTGTGTTGTTGGGCCTATTCCTCCTCAATGTCCTTTCAAGCGTAGCATTGGGACTACTGCCTTACATGCATGGTTAGTACTGGGGACTACTCCTCCTGATGCTTATTCTCATGCTTTGTATTGGGGACTACTCCTCGTTTAGCATTGACTGAGGTGTGCTTTCATGTTTAGTACAGTGTTGGGAATTACGTTCCTGATTTTTCTTTGGCCGGCCGGCAAGTGCGGTCGCGGACGAACGGTGGGTCGCTCGAGTGGATTCTCGCGCCTTCGCGTCAGGGCCTACAGGGCATTGGCGCAGCAACGGCGCCCTCGCATGCTCCTGGGCTCGGTATGAGAGGGTCAGACGGAGGCAGAGTTGATGGCCCTCGCCCTCTGCGGTGCATTTCCCGAACCAAGGCAACGGTTACATGCCGCAATCAACATGCCACAAATCATTGATGACAATTCAAGCAAGTTGCAGAGCAAAATTCGGCAAAGCGTGCCAAGAGACACGAACATGACCGAAGACAAAGGGCTCCGCGTGAGGCGGCTTCTCGGGCGGGTTCTGGGTTGTTTCTTCAGAGGACGGTCTCCTGTTGGCCAAGGCCAACGACCAGTGCCCAACCTGCCAGAATCGGTACATGGCGGACTCCAAGTACTGCCGCAGATGTGGCACCAAGCGGTCAAGCCAGGCTGGGAACAGTTCTGAAAGCTTTATATAAGCTCAATCAGCCCAAGAAGGAAGACCCAGCGTCCACATGTGGCGACAGGTTTTGCTTTGGACTGATGGGTCTAGAAGGGAACCAAACATTCCGGGGGTCCCGTATAAAAGACACAGCCTGATCATTCCCAGGTTTATTGCGATGGTCCAAAGTGCTCACAAGGGCTGCCGGGAGACCTGATTATGTCAGGGTCACCGATGCGCAGGAGCAGGTGCTCAGCCAGGACGCCGCTTACTGCGCCTCGCTGATCCAGTTCCAGGATTTCTCTGCGCGTCAGGCCACTCTGACACATTCCACGTTGGGCACCAGCATTCAGATCCTCTAAGGATCCGTCGACGGCGGTTGAGAAAGGCCACATCCATTGGAGGGTCAAGGGTCTCCAACTCCAGAGATGGCCTCAGTTTGAAGCAGGCAGTTCAGCAAGTCCCGGATCTCACTAATTAGGCTTATGGGGTAAGTCAACGTGATGTTGAATTCGGTGTGCTCCCATGGCTCGACGGATCTTGTCAGCCTACTTTATAGGAAGCTCACGTGTACAAAAAAGCAAGTTCGCCCGTGAAGGCTGATATTGAAGGATCCTTGAGGGGGATGGGGGCTGCCTAGAAATTTGCAAGTGTTGTACCATGTGTATGTGTCATTCATTTGAGCTTGGCTTGCTTTGTGATAGCACAAGTAGCCGCCAGCTAATATTGAACACACACCGCTCAACCAAATAACTACAGCCTTTGTTTGCATCTGGCATGCTTCCACTATACCCAGCACATGTGTGAGTAAACGTGCAGCGTTCAGCTTCTTGAGGGTTGTGCGAGTTTCCCTTGAACCTGCTTGAACGTCAAGAAGAAAGCAGCGTCAGCTTCCTCGACTTTAGGCCGGCTCGATACGCCCGTGCGCCAGACGATGGCATCAACACGGCTCAAGGCCGTCAGCGTCGCCTTTCGCTTGTGCGAGGCCGGATAAAGAGTACCGACTTTGAGATTCTTTGAGTACCGACTTTGAGCTGTTTGTGTTGACCCTCGATCTGGGGAAGGGAGCGGCTTGGGCAAGTTACTCGTAACGGAGTGACTCAGAGGAGCTTTCTGGGATTTTGAGTATAGTAGCTGCAAGTGACTCATGAAAGGGCCAAGCTGTCCAATTGACGGAAGTGTCCACTTGCAATGATCAGGAATCAGATAGTGAGAATCAGGCTGTTGTCAGACATGTGTATGCATGAATGTTGCAACTCTTTGAAGCCAGCACCGGTATACTGAGAACAGCGAATCCGTCAACTTATTCTCGAATGCGTACCACACACCATCTAAACAATAGCATGATGCCTGCAGCACCTTCTGAAACACGATTATCAGCAAATATTCATATCCCCGACTGCCGCGTTGAAACCAGGGGTCTTAAACCCGAGTGCTGGGCCCCCTGCTTCTAGATCTTGATGGCCAGGTTGCCTGTTATCCAGGGGTTGAACGATCGTAACAAGAGACCTGGCTCAGTCTGGCTTCGCAGTTGATTGTTTCTGCCAGCTTCACCTGTTCGGGTTATGTTCATGTGGTCTTGCATTTGTCTAAAGAATCGCCACTTGCCCTGTGCTCATCAGGATTTGTCTCAGACTCAGATTTCCTGTTGGTTTCCTTCAACCAACCATGTATATACTGTAAAGGTCCCGTGACGAGCCTCAGATTGCGCGGACAAAAGGCCGCCATCTAATTCATATCCATACTTGTGTGTGTGTGCGCGGTCTTTTGAAGCTACACTTTGTGGGGTTGGTTTAAAGGTCTCCACACGGCCTTTTGCCATGCGATGTTTTCAATAATTTCTTGGACCGCCCTCGAACATGGGTATGTAGTCGCGGCATTTTGTCTTCCGGAAATTCCGCGTAGGTGTCTTCCTTTCAGGACGTGTCAATATTTTCTGGACAAATGTGTGTGTGTCTTCTTTTGAGGATGCCCCCTTTGGCTTCAAGGGAAAACCAAAAGGAACAAGAAATAGGGTCCAACCTGAAGGAGACGCCCAAATGTTGGCCTTCCCTCGAAGCCTATCTCCACACGGCCAGGTGTTGCCCGTGGCCGTCGGCTTGGCCTTGTGGTGCGAGAGCGGGCAGCTGTCCAGTGGCTACCTGGCCCGGCACCGAGTTTTCTGTGTGAACCGGTGGGTGGTTGATGGGGCAGGGGGTGGGCTGGGCTGGCTGGGCTGGTGTAGGGGGTGGGTGAAACCCAAAAGGAGGTTCCTCTCACATTTAGATGTTTTTTCTTGGGCTCCATGTCAATTGAATCAACCCCGAAAGCAAAGCTGGCTTGAATCCGCACGAGGTTGGCCTGCTTCCGGCAGTCACCTGGGAGCTGATTCATCCCCCTGTTAGGCGCGGTGCACGGGGTTGCTTGGGTTTCAATCAATTGTCTTGGATTTCTTCAGAGAGGGGTGCAGCCCGAGTGTTTTCTGAAAGCTGCAAGAGTTCCCCTGCTGCCACTTGTTAGCTTTGTAGTGATTCAATTTCGCGAATCAAGCACGCATCCCAAATGAAGCGAAAAAGGGCCAATGTCAACCTTGTGGCAAAGGGGTAATTGCAGAGCCAGTTTGCATAGGGTTCTCTGGAAGGAGTTTGTGAACTTCCTGGAAAGTCAAACCGAAGAGCCGCGCTGCTCCACCTGAGGCGCAGCCAATTCAGCGGAAGCAAATGAAGAGACTATGTTTACATGTCAATGTGTATAAATAATGTCATGTCATTTATCATAGGAGCAGCATTTCTGGACCCAACTTATCCAGAGCAGCTCCACATCTCTAACTTGGATAAGGGCTGTTCAGCGTCCTATTCCCAAATACCTACTATGCCAACTCGAGAAGGGGCGCGCTCATTGTGCTGGTGTTTCTGTGAGGGGGACAGGGATCTTGGCTGGTGGAGCATGACATTGCCTAATGTCCTTGCAATCGATATTGGTAGATTATTCATCCCGATCTCATAGCTTGTCCGTGGCCGATGTTTTTGGGTACTTGGCTTCCACCCGACTCCAAATTGTCCGATTCCAGTCACGTGATTCTTTGCTTATTTGTCTTTGTGGAGCACCGTATGCTAGATTGTAAGTGGACTTGATCCATGGTTTCAAGGAGACAACCCTGGAGTTCCTGTTTGCAACTTCGAAGCCGCAGTTGCAAGGCCGCATCGCCGGAACTCTTTCCGGCTTGCCGATTTTGCTAGCCACTGAGACAGTGGTCCGAGCTAGGCAGACCCACGGCTTCCGGCTGTGGGCTTGCGCGGAGCGCACGCAGCAGCCTCAGTCACTCGCTTGCTGGACGGTGTCATTTGACAAGATAAAGGCCTCTATGTTGGGCGAAACGTGTGAATAAGGGCCAGTTTGGCTGAAGGGCATGTTGCGTGCTCATGCTCTTTGCAGTGAATCGCAGTTTGGTTGAGTTGTTTGAGCTGATGTTAGCAGACTATATCATTATATCCTTTGAATTTCGGTCCTACAGGGCGTGCTGCAGCATTCTTCAGAGTTTCACCTGACTGGCTTTCTAGACATCCGTAGTTTGATTTGAATGGCTTTACTTTGCTCCTGATTGATTTACCTTAAACACACATGTTACACTCCCTCTCCTGGCAACTGACTCTGACGCTTCCGTTCGCTGATAAAACAATATATCACCCACATAAGGAGACTCCCCAGAAAGTGAAACGATCAAATCACCCACTGACTAAAAGTCTGTACAACTTGTGGTGACCTCACTGTGAACAAGTAAAACACATGTTCACCCCCTGCAGGCTCTCTATAGTTTCAGAGACAAATGGGAGTCATCCGAAAGGTCCTTGTTTTAGGGATGAACGGGAATACCTTTCTGTCTTAGTGTTGCCCTTTGCAAAAGCTTCGCGATGGAGGTCGCGAGCGTTTTTTTTGTCCCCCCTTTTTTTTTCGTGGAAGTTTTGCGGAAGGGACTACAGTGGTCGGAGGAAAGCAAGGCGTGAGGATTGCCGCACAAATTACATCGCTGCAATTGCAGCCCCCAGCAGAAAGCAGCTTGTTGGAGTTTGTTTCTGGTCCAGTTGCGCGCAATTTGCTAGCCGGATTTTCGATAATGTTTGGTGTAAGATCCGCGGACCCTCCCGCCAGTTTCCGCACATGGATGGCCAACGGGTCCCCTCCTGCGCTGCTGCGTGGCTTCCGAGCTGGGGCTACTTTGCGTACTGCTTTTGTGATGAACGTTTTGAAAATAGCTTCGAAAGCTCCGCGATGAAGGTCGCTAAAGTTGTGTTTTCCGCAAGCATGGCGCTTCCGTCCACATAAAGCTAGGTCTATTTTGGGCGGAGCTCACTTGAAGGTAAAATGGCTCACACGTGGTCATTCTCCTTGCAAATCCCTTGTCTCAGGTGTTGGAGTTATTGAATTTGCAGATCCCTTGACCAAGGTTCGAGTGCCTGCTGTGGCCAATCTACAGCACCTTTGTGCCCCTGCACTTGGCGGACAGGGCTTGCCTCGAACTCGTGTCGCTTTTTCTGCAGGGTTCACTCGTTGGAGACTGATCAGCGGTGTTTGCTAACTTCTGCTAGATGGCCTGAGGTTGGATGTAGCATGCTGATTTCGGTGCAACAAGGAACTCCTTCAAAACGACGAGATCGAAAAGCATGATAGCTCTCCTCAGCCTTATCCTCCGACTGAACTTCCCGCAGCTCCGATAGTTGAATCATTGTGATCGAATACACATGCAGCGTTTTGGAAAACGAGACCAGTGAGTTTAGCAGAGCGGGGCACGGGGCGCACAAATCCTGGTATGAGGGATCCTGGTTTCCTTCTGCAGTTGTGCATTTATCACAACAGAGAGTCCCAAACATGAATATGTCCATTTCCTTTAAGCCAAAGTGAAATTGGGAATTGCCTGCAAAACTCTTTTCCTGTTGGTTTCGCTTCAAAGAGGCAGCCACCCCAAAAATAGCACACTGCCGTTGGTTCGCGTTTTGACAGGACCCCACGCGGGATCACAACGAGGAGGAGGCTGTGCTGGACCACCTGATGCTGCCCGCTTGGCTCTGACACTCAGGGGTCAAAGGTGTGCATGTGTGTGTGAGAGAGAGTGAGTGCGTGCGTGCGTGCGTGCGTGCCTGCCTGCGTGCGCGCGTGCGTGCGTGCGTGCGTGCGTTTGCGTGCGTGAGTGAGTGAGTGGGTGTGTACGTCTACGTATCCGCGTGCGTGCGCGTGCGCGTGCGCGTGCGCGTGCGCGTGCGCGTGGTTGTGTGTGTGTGTGTGGTGTTGTTGTTGTTGTTGTTGTTGTTGTTGTTGTTGTTGTTGTTGTTGTTGTTGTTGTTGTTGTTGTTGTTGTTGTTGTTGTTGTTGTTGTTGTTGTTGTCTTGTTGTTGTTGTTGTTGTTGTTGTTGTTGTTGTTGTTGTTGTTGTTGTTGTTGTTGTTGTTGTTGTTGTTGTTGTTGTTGTTGTTGTTGTTGTTGTTGTTGTTTGTTGTTTGTTGTTGTTGTTGTTGTTTGTTTGTTGTTGTTGTTGTTGTTGTTGTTGTTGTTGTTGTTGTTGTTGTTGTTGTTGTTGTTGTTGTTGTTGTTGTTGTTGTTGTTGTTGTTGTTGTTGTTGTTGTTGTTGTTGTTGTTGTTGCAGCACACCCAATTGACAGGCCAAGGGCTCAAACACAATGGGCATTGAGAATTATAATTGGCTGCTGAAATGCACGTGCTAAGCGTGAAGGGGTGCTAGGGGAGACATAGCCGCTTTTTCGGTACTTTCTAACAGCGGTTTTTGAAAGGCTCAAGGGCTCGTCTCGATGAAACAAAGAGAGCAGCAGGAGAACGAGGCAGTGAGGTGAGGGCATCAGTGGGTCGGAGGATGAAGCAAGATAATACTTCAGCACCCAATCTAGAAAGTTGATGTTAGAGAGGCAGTCAAAGTATCTTTTTCAGCTGGCACATGTGCCAATGCGTATTGGCAGCTTTGTCCCTGTGCTGAACACTTTTGCTTTGCGCTGCAATTGTGTTTCGCGCATAGAGT